CTAGTCCCCAGCTCCTGGGAACGTGCATGTGACCGTGGTGAACAGTACCTTAGCTGAGGTGCACTGGGACCCGGTGCCTCTGAAAAGTGTGCGAGGACACCTGCAAGGCTATCGGGTAAGTGAAGGGAGACCTCCCCTGTTCTTTCCTTGGGAACAGCCCGTCAGTGAAGGCCGGATGCACTTTTCTTGGCTGGAGAAGTTGTTCTTGAGAGTTCATCTCGTTTATCGCCCCAGGCAGGCCACATCTAAACAACCCCAGCTGAAACTGAATCAAGATTTCACTGTATCCAAAAGTGAGGGGGGTGGGGGGAATGTTTTCTCCATTTTTTCACACAGATAACCTAAGATTTTGCCAACTAAGCAATTAACATACGCACAAAAGATGGAAAACTAATGTGTGAAAAATCAGATATAACAAAATGCACCTAGCTTAAAAACTATACCGACCACATGTGAATACACACATTATCCTGAAAATAATGTAGACATTAAAAAAAATAATTCATATTATACTTTAAGATCATAAAGTACCAACTGGGTCATTCTTATGAATATCAACCATCTTCATTCTTGGGAAGCACAGAAAGAAGGGGTTTTATAGAGGGGTTTTTTTTAATTGATAGTCATCTGTTTTTACATTCACCATAAAGAGTCCCTCCTTTCATTTGTCAACCCTGACCCCTAGAGGTCACTATTTGCACTGCATCATGTTCAATTTTATTTTTTTTTCTCTAACATTGTTCAATTCTGTATATGTTGGCTTCTCTTTAAAAAAATGTCTGCTAAGGAAAATTTAAAAAGACTTAATAAACAACAATTCTGGATTTTTAACCGAAGTTAACCAACATTTTGTTCATCAACTACAATATAATACAAAAAATAAGAGCGAGAGCCCCAGACCTAGAGTCACTCCTGATTGTCCTGTGCCCTGCACAAGTCAGTTGGATAATGCAAAGGCTCATCTGTACTATAGAAATAATAATAATAAACGCTTCACTGTGGGTTTTAGGACTAAACTAAATGACATATTGTACATGAAGTTCTATTAACTCTGGAAAAAGTATCTAAATATTGGCCAGTCATTTTTACTTTTAGAATATTTTACATGTCAGACACTGAAATCCTTCTATTGGCTTTTAGAGAGAACTGAATGGGTGTTGTGCTATTTCATTTATTTCACTTATATTCCTCCAGCAAAATAGGATAGCCCAGCTTCATCAGCTATTCTTAATTTGACTTTCCTCAATATCTGTGGGCTTCTGACTCTCCTGCCTCAGAATCAATATTTTTCAGTTTTGCCAGTAATCTTCCAAAATGCACCAATTATGGGAATTTTCTGGGGAAAAGCCCATAAAACTTGAATCTTGGTTGCCTCCTTACACATCCCCGACTTTTGTTCTTGCTGCTTCAGATTTACTACTGGACGGACCAGAATTCATCAAAAAGAAACAGACGCCACATTGAGAAAAAGATCCTCACTTTCCAGGGCAGCAAGACCCACGGCATGTTGCCGGGGCTGGAGCCCTTCAGCCACTACACACTGAACGTCCGCGTGGTCAATGGGAAGGGGGAGGGCCCTGCCAGCCCCGACAGAGTCTTTCATACGCCGGAAGGAGGTATGAGGTGGACGTGTCTCTGAGACCCTAGCAACATGTGGCACATGCTGAGAGGCTTTGTGTGGCAGAAGGGCCCCCAAATAAAGTATATTCTGGAAGCCGAACGTGATTTCCCACAGATGAACACAGCACGCATGAGCTGGCTCACTTTCAATACTGGCTTGAGGCCCTTATGTGGACGGAGGGGATGAAGGCGTCACACCGCAGAATGCTGTCCTAAAATCCCCTCTCCCTTGACTTAAATTTTTGTCCACCCTTCGTCACACTGTCAGAAACCTTGCTAACTTGATGTTTATTTGGGTCATTAGGAAGCAAGCTGTATAGCTTCTATAAGCCCAGTTACCTAATCTGAAGTGTGGGAACTAAATGTGATACCCTAAAACCATCTACAAAAGAAAATAATTTACAAGTCACAGTTCATTTGTTTCTCAGGGCACCTGCATAGTTTATTCTACACATAAGCTGAGTTAGAGGTTGGAAGTCTTGATAAAATGGGTTAGGAAGAGAAGGAAAAAGTCATTGCAAGTGTAGCCCACTGCAAGAGGAAGAGAGGCCCACATCTTCGTTACGTGGGAGTGAGGACAGGAAGAGTTTGGACATGGGAGCCTACTGGATGAGGAAGAGAGGCCTTAAGTGAGAAATATAGGGGTTAGAAAAGGAACTGGAAATCAGCCTTACCTCTTTTCAATTTTGCCTCAAGCCAGTATTGAAAATGAGCCGGGTAACGTCTATGGATTCATTAGTTCTTTTAGGTGAAAGCAGTTCACAGACAAATTCTGTCCTGGCTCCTGGTTGAAGGGCTCATGAAGTCAGCGGCTTCCCAACCGTCTCTGAACTCATCCTGTGTCCCCGCTCCCATCTCATCATGACTGTTGGTCCTCCGTCTCATCGCTCCTTAGCGGTTAAAGGCTCCTTCCACTCCAGGCTTTCCCTAGAGAGACTCCACCCTGGTCCTGGATAGTTCAGGGGAAGGTGTCATACAAGAGATGACCAGGGAATGAAAGGATAAAGAAGAGAGGGAGTAGCATACTCAAAGACACAATGGTGTGAAACAGCATGGCTCCCTCGGGGAACTGCGAGTTGTGTAGCCGGAAATGGTGAGAAAAGAGGGGAAGGCCAGCTAGGGAGGACCTGTATGGATGGTCTTAAACGCTGTGATATTAAGCCGGAGGCTCTTAACCTGGGGACTGTAGTCTCTCATAGGGAGTCAGTGAACACCAGTATCATGGAAAAAGGTGTGTATTTTTCTAGGGAGTATTTAGGGCTGTCATCAGATTCTCAAAGGGGTCTGTGATCTTCCAGAGTTAGGAACCACTCATTGGTTTGGGGGAAGCTTAGCACTGTGCCGAGCCAGCTCAGCTAAGGGTTTGAAAGCCTGAGTGAGGGCAGCAAAAAGATGAAGAAATGACAGACAGACAGAATAAGCTGGGTCTAGATGGTCTTCCTCTGCCTGGCTGAGGCCATGGAGAGAGATCCAGAGGTGAGCTGAGCCTTTATTTTATAGCCAGAGGTAAACAAGGTAGTGGTCACCATAGTTACAATGTTCTTGTGAGTTTCACTTGTTTTGGCAGCACTTGCTGCACCTCCCACAGCCCATTAGCTACCTAGGAAGTATCTAGGGCAGCCGTGTCCGGCCCGTTCGGCTGTTCTGTCCGGCCCGCGGAGCCGAAAGAGCGGAGGGGTCTCTTGCTCTCCCCTTCCGCTCCTTCACCAGCAGCAGTGTTAACATGTATTAGTTCACACAAACACTCCATCCATGCTTTCGTTCCGGCCCTCCGGTCCAGTTTAAGAACCCATTGTGGCCCTCGAGTCAAAAAGTTTGCCCACCCCTGATCTAGGGAGTATCATAAGGTCAAACCTAATTATGCTAAGAGGACTGTGCCCTCTAAGCTGGGACTTGTTTGTGGCTTTGCCAACAGGTCGGTCCGAGGCTTAACCCTATAGCCGCGCCGTACTTAGAACTATGAGCCAGGTATGTTGTAGACACAGGCAAAGGCCACAGAGGCACTGAAATGGGGTGGTGGCAGAGAACAGAGGAGGGAACGAGGTGGAATTCACGGGATTTAATGTCCCAGGAGATGGTGGGAATGAGGCAGAGGGGGTATTCAGGATGGCTCCCTGGTTTCTGGCCAGTGACAGGCAGAACAGTGGTGCCATCAGTGGGTCTAGTGTCCCAGGAGATGGTGGGAATAAGGCAGAGGGAATAATTCAGGATGGCTCCCTGGTTTCTGGAGAGAGTGACAGGCAGAACAGTGGTGCCATCAGTGGGTTTTAGTTCCAGTAGACTTTCATTATACAAACACTAAAGTAAGTTCTTTTTTTATTGTTGCCAGTATTACAGATGTCCCACATTTCCCCTTCTTTACCCCCTTCCACCCAGCCCCCACTCCACCCCAGACCTGTCTCACTCTATTGTCTGTGTCCATGAGCTATGCATATATGTCTACCTATATGTTCTTTGGTTAACCTCTTCCTGTCATCCCCACCCCTCTTCCCTCTGACATCTGTCCGTCTGTTCTATGCTCTTATGTCTCTGAACCTATTTCGTTTGTCAGTTTATTTTGTTCATTAGATTCCACACGTAAGTGAGATCATGTGATATTTGTCTTTCTCTGACTGGCTTATTAACTTAGAAAATACTCCTTTTTATTTTATTTTTTTATTGGAGAGGGGGAGTAGAGAGAGACCTATTGCTTTGTTGTTCCATTTATGCATTCATTGGTGGCTTCATGTATGTGCCCTGACCAGGTGTCAAACCCACAACCTTGGCGGATCAGGACAACACTCTAACCAATTGAGTTAGCCAGCCAGGGCCACTAGTTTGCTTTTATTAAAACATCATTCATTAAACAAATAAGTACAGTATCTTTTTAAATTTTTATTAAATTTATTGTCTTTTTTAAATTTTTTGATTTCAATCCATATAAAGGCAAAGTCTGTATTTTGAGAGAATGGTTTTCATGAATCTAAATGGAAATGGTGAGAAAAAAAGAGAAAGAGAATGGTAAATGGGTACCTGTCACAGGTTTCTATCAATGTATTTTCAGCTGAATCAGGAACAAGAATGTTAAAAAAAAAAAAACACCTTAATGATTGTGTGAACATGGTGAAATATGTCATTTTAATACCTTTTGAAACACTGAAAAACCTTTATGTTGACTGTGTTCTCATTATAAGTTCCCAGTGCCCCGTCCTCCTTGAAGATTGTTAACCCAACGCTAGACTCTCTCACTTTGGAATGGGATCCACCAAGCCACCCGAATGGCATTTTGACTGAGTACACCTTAAAATACCAGCCAAGTAAGTTATTGGAAGAAGGGATAATGGAAAATATCATTAAAAAGGAAAAAGAAAACTGTTATCTTAAAATACCAACTGGTTATTCTTTATAGCTGTGGAATATGTACATATACCTTCAAGTGTTATTCCAAAAGGAACTTCAAATCATACTTTTTAAAGAAAAATTACATATGTGGTATTGAAAATTAAGTATTCTGTAGATTAATACAGACCTTTGAGCATGGGGTTTAGGTAGGTGCTATCATTAGACATTATCTGTAACTAGAAAATAGTAACCCTCATTCATTTGGCACAAGACCTCTGAACATGAGGTTTGGGATTATTTAACAATACATGACTCCACCTGCCAAATCCCTGAGATGAGAAATGCTGTCGTGATTCAACTATAAAATTCCCTTAGCTTAGGAGCCAGTAGAGACTATATTTCCCCATCTTATGCCATATTATAGGAACTATAAGAGCTTATCAGTTATGCCGGGCAAAAAAATCAGTGTAATCCAAATTTGACATTTTGAGTGGACACATTTATCTATAATAGTATTGCTATAACAATTAATGGGAAATGCTCTTTTTTCTTATTGACAGTTAACAGCACCCATGAATTAGGCCCACTCTGACCAGGTGTCAAACCCACAGGTGTCAAACCCACAATCTTGGGGTATCAGGACAACACTCTAACCAACTGAGCAACCTAGCCAGGGCTGTATCTGTTTTTGAAAGACAAGTCAGCATGCTTCCTTGTCTGACATCAGAAAACTGTCATACACCAAAGAGACCCCATTTAATGAGAAGTCACTTCATATATCAAAGTTAGAACTATCTCAACTGCCACGCTTTCTGCATCAGGAGCTATAAAATCAGACAGATGGAGTAGGAATTCCCTCCTACTCAAATACTGCATTTTATATGAGTAGGTGACAGAAGTCTCAGAACACACCAAAAACCACTGATGATTTAAATGTTTTAAAAACCCTCTATTGACAATTCTTCCCAACAACATACACAAGGACGAGAGGGACAGCGTGCTGCTCACCATGCTCTTTCCTGAGGGTCTCTCCATTTTGAAACATTGAAAAACCTTTATGTTGACTGTGTTCTCATTATAAGTTCCCAGTGCCCCGTCCTCCTTGAAAATTGTTAACCCAACACTAGACTCTCTCACTTTGGAATGGGATCCACCAAGCCACCCGAATGGCATTTTGACTGAGTACACCTTAAAATACCAGCCAAGTAAGTTATTGGGAGAAGGGAAAAATCAGTGTAATCCAAATTTGACATTTTGGGTGGACACATTTATTTATAATAGTATTGCTACAACAATTAATGGGAAATGCTCTTTTTTCTTCTTGACAGTTAACAGCACCCATGAATTAGGCCCACTGGTAGATTTGAAAATTCCTGCCAACAAGACACGCTGGACTTTAAAAAATTTAAATTTCAGCACTCGGTATAAGTTTTATTTCTATGCACAAACATCAGCAGGATCAGGAAGTCAAATCACAGAGGAAGCTGTAACAACAGTGGATGAAGGTAAGATGGGTATGTATAAAATCCATAAAACTATAAGTATTGTGAAACAAAGCTCCTTTACTTCAATGTGTACTTTCTCTTTTCTTCTGACCATGGAGTATTCATCTTACTCAATTAATATAAACACTTACGTGTAATTTCTTATCCAGATATATAAAATCAATTATTTCTTATTAGAATATTACTTGATATTTGTTTTCCAAGTCCATGTGAAAATTTTAAACTTATATTAGTATATTGAGGTAAGTGTGGGAAATTACAATATTTTGCCACACTTGAATTTGAAGTTCAAGGCACTGTTTTTTCCTTTCTACAACTTTACATATATGCATACACATATACTTACACATGTATGTAATACAAATATGTATACATGTGCATACGTACACATGTATGTAATACAAATATATATGCACGCACAGATATGCATACATATACTCGAGTAAATATAAGTATTTCAGGTTCTGGTCTTGGTTCACCAGAAAGTGGTTTACTAGTCTACATATTGATTTAGGTTTTCTAGCGATGAAATGAAATAGTGCGTTTATCAAATGAGCGTGGGACTCTGTACCTTGGTAGGCCACTTGGTACAGAGAAAGCAAAGTAGCTCCATTAAAGTATCTAGAAATGAAATTAATACTTTCATATTTTTTAAAATTATTTTGAAAACCTTTAGATTCAATAAAAATATTGTAAAAGATTTCCTCTTTTTGCATGTCTCTAAATTGTAGAATTGCTTAAGGATTATTGATTTGATTATCTTCCATAGCATAAGAAATTGTCAGTGCTACTCCAAAATTGGTTTGAGATATCCTAAGCCTTCTTATATAATAGGCAAGCATGAATAATGTACCTTAAATGTGGATTTGAGTACTGCGTAAGTTTGGGGACACAAATATGTCTTTGTCCCCTGAACCTGATATGGTACACTTCATTCTTCTTGCATGCTTTAGCATTGTAGTAAGTGTTTTTATATAGCTTTACATGCTCATGGGTGTGTTACATTTAACTATATAGTGTCCTATTTCTGTTTCCCTTCATTAAAGCTGGTATTCTTCCACCTGATGTAGGTGCAGGCAAAGGTAAAATAATTCATCTGCATGACTTTATACATGTGTGAAATTTGCAATGTTAAACATGGGGAAGTGCAGCATGGGTTAAAAGAGAAAATAAAATAAGTTTTGAAACAGCAAAAGAAAGAGAAGATCTTGGCAGATCTTGGCTTTAACATTAATATTTGGTCTTTATACAAACAGAAAGCCACACATTACATTTTTCTAAGACTTCTCTCGAGACTTATCCCTGGTGCAAATCCTAATCTTACCTTTTAATGATATGATTGTGGCTGGATCAGACAGGACCAAAACTGTGGATTTGTCACAGGTCCTGTCTATGGCCACGCCACGTATTAAAGAAATATTAGTCATGTGATGAAAATAGACTGTGAGAAATCAGATCAACAGTTTTCCATTCTGATTTAGCTAGGCCCCTCATAGACACAGTGTACACTTTGCTGCATTGCACTGCACTGTCCATTTGAACTTTTGGCTTAGCGGTCAATGCCCTCTATTTATCCTGGGATTAGCAGTCAGCCCACCAGGATCCCCAAGAAGCAAGTCTTTCCGTCTGCCTGCATGCTCTACTCAGTTGTGTTCCTCCATCCTGTCGTCACCAAACTGCTCAAGTCTCCTCCTCCTGGGTAATAGCCAGTCCTCACAATGGATTACTTTTGTTCTCCTTTATCTTGCACAGCACTCTGGGTGAGAAAGATTGGTGGGGAGAATGGTGCTTGAATACGTTGTAGTATGTCTTCCACGTGAGGCAGTCCCAAAGATCCCCAGTCTTTCACCCTTGGCTGTGGTGGGTCTGTTAGCCTTGGACATGTTTTCTTGGGGAGAACCTGGGGCCAGGGGTTTTCTTGGGCTTTGACAGACTGAATGAGTACAAATAGGAATGAAAAAAAGACCGGGAGAAATCAGTGCTTTGTCCCAAATTATTCAAATCTTGTGAGCTTAGGTCTGATACACATCTTCTGTTTTCTTAGAAATCTGCTTATAGTCAGAGTCTTGGTAAATTATAAAATGTAGATTAGATAGATTTTAGGGTGATTGAATAAGAACCGTAGCCATTTTTGCTAATCTTGATATGTTACCCAGGTGTTTTTAGGCTTGAACAAAGTTGTAAAACTTCAAAATTTCCAAAATATTGCAAAAAGATGTAAACCTCTCTTTTATATGTATTCTTCTTTCCTGGGACAGTTAGATAGCAATTAAAATCCTCGGTAGTTTTACAGTCATCTACTGCCAGGTCCCCTCATAACCTCATTGAAGCAGTCCAGAGAAAACCTGGCCTCCCTCCCTGTACAAAGGATGCCTGGAGTCGAGAGCAGAGTAATTGTGTTGCCACAGGGCTGCCTGTGAAGTGAATCTGAGTTTTCCATGGTCTTGTCATGTTAGAATAGGACATGCAATCCCCTGGGAAAAAAATACATCACCTGCTTATTTTAATGAATTAAAACTAACTAAAATAAATCTTTATTAAGATAGTTTAGGGTTTATCGTTTAATGTTACTCAATTGAATTGCGAATTGCTTATGATTATAGGGATAAGTAAAAATGGAGTGTCAGAAGGTTCTTGAAGTCCCCAATGTTGAAATCTGATGGATCTCATATAAGAAAAGAAATAGGATTTAAAATCTAAGAGAAAGCTAAATCTATCCTCATTGCCTATATGGTCTCTTTTAATAGTGCACCAGTAATTAAACATTGCTTGCATAAAATGATGACATTTGACTGATAAGAATTTAAGCTGATCAAAAAGAAATTGCTGTCCTGGATTTCCCTCCCTTAAAAAATATTTATTTCAATCTAAGAATAAATTTTATCTTCTCTGTTTTTCTTCTCCAGGTGGGGTTTAGATATTCCCTGAGAGAGGAGAATGAAAGTGTCCCATAGTTCTCTCGAAATTTTAATACTTTTATATATCTTTTATATTTTAATTTAAAGCAGCATGAAAGAGAATAAAGAAGAGATAAACCATGGAGGAAAAACATGTGTGATAGACTCAGCTATCGCAGCACGAGCCTCTAATGATTTTAACTAACTTCTGGAGGAAAAGGGGAAAAGCGATGCATCTAAGTTTAATTTTTTAGTTTTCTGGAAGATTTTAAGCGATGTTAATGAAACCCAAGCTTACACATATATAATTACGTAAGCCACGAAGAAACCAGGATAATGAATTTACCTGTATTAAGCCTACTTTTCCTTTTCCTTACCACTCTCCTCAATTTGATCATGAAAATACTCCTGAGATCTTCAGGAATCACTTATTTTGATCCATGTCCTTCTTTTGTTTTCAATATCTCTGTAAGAATTGTAGTTGTTTGGATGCATTTGTTCAATTTCTGTGTCCTTTTAAATACAGGGTGTCCCCCAAAAAATGTACTAGTATACACACTAACAGCTGATGATAGCTCAATGGACATTTCTTTCTTTTCAGATTTAACCCATTGGAATTAATAATGGCAGCCAAAGTGTGTATACATTCTTGGGAGACACCTTGTGGTTTTGTGTCTGGTACTCTAGGAAATAGACCTGTGAAGGCATCTGAAAAATGAACCGAAGCACACAGATAATGGATTTGAGTTAAGGTCTCAGTATTGCTGATGGTTGGACACTGCCTTATTGATAGTTTTTACTTTCTCACCCTTGGGACCAGTCTTCAGAACATGGTTGCAAAGTGACTATTTAGGGCACAGGAATAGGAAGAAACTAATTGGCAAGTCAGAAACTGAACCTGGTTCTTGACCTAATTAGCAGCTGACAATTAATTAATAAGAGGACACTGAGGAGTTGGTGACATCCTCTCTGTGGTCAGACTCTCACTATATAATTATATCAGAGTTGGTCCCACTGCTACCAATTAGGTCAAGACACAGGAAAACCTAAGGAACCAGCAAATTAAAATCTAGTTTAAAGTTTACAGTTTTATTTCACCTGAACAACAACAACAAAAGACTGTATAGAGCAGTGGTTCTCAACCTTGGCTGCACATTAGAATCACCTGGGAATCTTTTTAAAATCCTGATTTCTGGGTCTCATCCTCCGGAAATTCTGTTTCTTTGTTACTAATGTTGTAGCCCCACCCCATAACAAAGAAACAGAATTTCCGAAGGATGAGGCCCAGAAATCAGAATTTTGAAAAGATTCCCAAATGATTCTAATGTGCAGCCAGGGTTGAGAACCACTGATATAGAGGGTTCAATCAATTTCGACATCTAACGTCTACCTGGCAGGTAAAGTGCAATAGCCTTTTATAAGACACTGTATATCTAAACGGTAAAACACAGCCAGTTAAGACCAACATACGAAAAAGAGTAAACATAGATGCTAAACTAGTTATTTGAACAAAATTGTATATGAACAGAGAGGAGTGAACCATTTATTTTGCCAAACAAGATCAGGAAGAACTTCACAAAGAAAGTAATAACCAATTTGGCCTTGGGACAAATACAGAATTTTGGCAAATGAGTCAAAGGGGGAGGGGGGTGGATAAATTGTTGGTAAGGCAATAAGCAAAGGCATGGGTTTGAAAGCCTACAGGACATTTGGGTTACACCCAAAAGTCCAGTTTGGCCCAAATGTAGAGTGCCTGGGCAAGAACCTGGGGTGTGACTGAAGAGGTAGGTGAGGACACATGATTAACGGCTATGCTTGCCTGGCTAAGGAATTTGTGTTTACCTATCAATAGAGGTCAGTCATCTCCACATTCTAAACAAATGTCAGGATTGGACTTGTAGTTTAGAAGCTAAAATGTACAAAAACACAGTAGGAAGAGAGAGTAGAGTGGACTCCTGAGAAAGCCCAGCTGAGAGAGGACACTAGCACGTCCCAGGAGACAATGTCCGACATATCATAGGTGCTCAGTGAGTGAGTGTTCAGTAAGAAGGTGGATGAGTGAGGAGTCAAAGCCAGGAGAGTTAGAATTCTCTGACAAAAGTGGCCAAACAGACAACCTCAGAAAATCGCAATATCTTCTCTGGGTGTCTTTAAGAATAAGTGAAATGTTCTTCTGTTAGAAATATTTCACTATGGTTCTGCCTTCAACATTTTCCATAATTACAGCAGATTAAGTTCCTCCGTTCCATGATCCAAAAATTTTTAAAGAAAATTAATGTTTTGCCTGAGTTCTTTGCCACTGATGTTTTACACACATGTTCATAGTCACAGTCTCTGTTTATTGATCATATTCCTATCGTTATCTATTTCTTCAGGTGCAAAATCAATTAGGTCCACACAATTCAATAATCAATTTTTCTCTCTCTGCTGTTTCCCACCCTTAGCACGAAGGGGCACACAATATACGTGTGATGGTGAACTCTATCTCAGAAGTCAAGTGCATTATTTAATTTCTTAATATACTTCTCTTTTAGATCTAAGAAGTGCTATTTCATCACATTTTAGATTTATAAGAGGTCTTTAGCTTCTAAATTAGATAACATAATTTGGAATTTAATTTTAGAGTCTGAGTAACCCTTCTGATTTCCTATCCTAGGATGTTTTCTCTGGGATAATAAACTGGTCTTATCAGTTTTAACTACCCAAGTTAATATATCTGTAAATATGTTATTTTAAGTTTAGGCACTTGCAGTAAAGCTGATATAATTGTCAGCTTCAGATGCCCAAATAACACCTTTTAATAACTATAGGTGCCATCTTTACTCGTAGCAAGTAACCTCCATAATTTGGTGTTTTAAGATGCTATGTAGGTTGCAGCATGATTTTTCAGAACAGGATATGTAATGAGCACTTAGAAGGTGAGATTGTCTTGCTCTCTGGGATGTGTCAAGTGAAATAGTTCTTTTATTTCTTCTTTCTTAACTTTAGATAAAAGCACATTTGGTGACTCTTTCTGCAGCTTTTCTTCCAGTGTACCCACCCCTGCAACATTCTCCCAGCAGGTGTTCCTCACCTAGGTCCCTGAACTTAAAGAAGTTTCTGACTCAAATGAGGTCAAAAGCTACTATTGTGAGGAGCATCCTTTCTCACCCCAACACAGATTCTTTAAAGACCCACACTGACAT